ATTGAGATGGATTTATGTAATTTATCCAATAATATTGACTTTTCTTTCCAATCCTAACATGTGTGTATATTGATTAGAAAGGATAAAACGGTAGAGTTGATACAAATGAACTTATTAATAAAAATACTTGGAGCAAACTTAAAGATAAAAGTTATATATATTTTTTTTTTAATACAAACAATATTAAAATGAAGAGATTAGAACTTAAAGAACTTTTCGTGTAAAAAAAAACTTCCAACCAACTAAACTCTACATAAACATCATTTTTATTCAAAATTGCAGCAATTCTTTCCCCGTTAAGTTGGGCATTTTTCAGTTTTGTGTTGATTAACCCCTGCCAATACATATATGATCACCAACGACTTTGCTAAAGATTTGGAAACCCTGCCACCGATTTCATTGAACTTGTTTAATTGTGTGGGTCAACATATTCAACAACATGAAGGCATTGGAAGAAAAATGCATCCACGTGTTATAACTCAAAAGTCTCATCATAAACATTATGAGCTCATTTGGGAGTTCTAAAATGATTGAAATTATTTTTACAGAAATTTTTTTGACTTACAAAATCACTTGACGTGCTTTTTGAATGAAGTATTAGTTATGTATTGCAGAAAGCACTCAAAGTGTGTTTTCAAGATTTCTTTGCATTTTTAATTTTACTAAGGATACCAAAAAAAAATTTTCACCAAAAATACTTTTAGCTATTTTAAAAGCACTTCCAAATACAGACCTTCCCTAGGTCCCGACTCACAAATGGTCTCCCTCCTCATGCTTTTTCTTTGGGTTATTACCTTAATAAACAAGTTTCTTACGGTATGAGGAAAATATTCTCACCATTCATAATGTAATGCAAAATAAGTTGTCAAAACTTGTAGTTGCATACAAATTATATCCATACTCGATATATACATGGTACGTTGGAAAATTCCAACTTGAAATATCTGTATTGATGACTTATCTTAAGAAAATTGATCAAGCCATAATATACGACATGCGACTACTCTTAATCGTTGAATTTGAACATTTTTTTCTTGGTACATGGAAAACTGCCGTTTTATACAACAAGCGATATAATGATATTTCATTAAATTCCACAAATAATTACAGAGATTGCCAATTAAGTACAGAAACTCTAATAACCAAAAAATTAATTTGGAGTAGACTTGTGCAATGAAACAAACTGCAGCCCCATATGGCTACCAAACACTGCCCTACCCTACCCTACACTACTGTAGCCACCTAAATGTGAGAGATACGGAGAGATGATGTTCTAGGGTAGTGCGTTGTGGGTTTAACTGGATGGGTGAATTGAGATTAATTAGTTTGTTCTTTAGCTTAGGTTAATTAAGCCCCTTAGGTTTGTTCGTCAACAGATGGATTCTTCATTAAAAAAGTAAGTGCCCAAATAGGTTAGCGTGCAATTAGTTATATGTCAATTAACCTTCCAGTTATATCTCTTTTACCCTTCCTCTCCCTTTATGCACTGTATTTTTGCACCACAAGCAGAAGGAAATATGATGTACAATTACGGTCTTACAGTCTCTACAAATAAACAATATCATCATGTGTAAAACTTATCGTACTTTTACATCTCTTAGCTTACTATACATACGAGTAAGCGAACATTACATATGAAACCTTCGTAAGTAATATTCGTAGTATAGAAATTACATTGATCCTTTACAAACACATGGAGGAGCTATAGGTAAGTAGTTAGTCGAATGTAATACGTACCAGGTACGTACATATACATTGAAAGTTGAATGCATGTTTGGAGTAGTTCTAGTGCATATAGGTGTAGCTAGTGTGCAGGGAGGCGACCCTGCGGACAACCTTTACCATCATAGCAAACGCATTTGAAAAGTACACAGGCTCCAGCAGTCGCACCTTCTTTTGTGCATGCCTTGTTGCAGTTTGGACTCCACAAGCATGAACCTTGCCATGTGCTACTATACGACCAATCACGGCATCCTACAAGGCCGCTATCTGCATTGTGCAAGAAACATATATACTCATATTTGAAGATCGAAATAACAGAAAAAGGAATAATGGAGAGAAATTAAGGTTCAGTGGAGTTTACTAGAGATTTTTCTATGTACTTGAAACATTATCTTGTGGTGTTATTATTTCACTCAAATTATAACACGTGTATTTGTTTATTTGTTAATGCACTATGGAAGTAAGACATATCAACTATGTCTTCCATCTATATTATAAAACGTGAAATCTTATATTATGTGACAACTACTCCCGATACACATAGAAACACCTTCTTTCTTACCTGCAACTGCAAAGACGATGAACATAACAAAAAGCACAGAAAGGCAGATTGACTTTGAAGTTTTAGCCATCTTCTTCCTCAGGTTTTCGATAATAATTAAAATTACAATTGGATGGCACAACTTGTTCGAGTTTTAGGGTGCTGTATATATGCTTTTCTTGCGAGGGGGGAATAAGTTAGGGCTTCTGTTATAAAGTTGGGGTTTCAAACTTTCAATTGAGGTCCACTCATTTCACCGCGTGGCCATGTAAGCAAGCCTGTACCACATTTAGGTATAAACAACATGTACAGTTGGATAGAAACAACAACTGCACCAGAAACATTGCTAAAATGCACAGCTTCTCATATAATCATGCTTGTGTTAACCTAATCTGTGTAGATCTCATGGTTAGTTAATTTAGAGTTTTGTGGGTTTAAAGTCGCCGGACTATCAAGCAAGTGAGTTCGTTGGGTTATGTATGTACCTAGGTATAGCTACATTTCAGTTGTCTTCTTAAACCTCGATGTCTAAAATATTAAATGACCGACAAATGAAACTGTAAAAAGAAGATTTCACAAAAAAAGTAAGCTTGCCAGCACTGGAACTCTCTAATTTGTGAATGGATCCAGATATCATCTTCGAACTTTCTATATGAATGGACCCAGATGGAAAAGGATTGAGAAGGCTGCATCATGGGTGAAGTCGAGACGTGCTATGGATCGACGTGTGTGTTGGGGGATTGGACCGCACCAGACCGAGACATCATATCTGTGCTTTTGGTTTTTTTTGCCCGATTTCTCCAAGGCATACCACATCTTCTTAACTTAATCAAAGTTGTTTGTGTTAATTTTTCCTTTTAATTAACAAGAAAAAAGATAAATTAGAGTAGTATATATATTGTTCTGTGGGACTTTAACACTAACTACAAAATCACATAGCCATAAATAGGTGAATTTTACATCAACATGCTGCATGATCTTACAAGTGATAAGATCATGTAAACTTTCTGTACTATGACATTTTTGTAGAAATGAGAATAATAGTATTAGGAAGGAGGATCGAACTATGATCTCGTGTACATGATTAATTGCATTTAACGTGAAGCACAAAAAATAAAAAATTGATGTGGAAATTTAGAAACTAAATTTTGATGAAGCCGTTTACGGGTTTACGTTTTATTTCCATGATATGAGAGTGCAAGTGCAGTTATTTTATTTGACTATTCCAAATGGTCTAGCTTTTATAGCTAGCAAGAACATAGAGGACCAAATCCCACGTTCACGGCCAGCGGTGGGGCTTACTGCATGACTGAAGCATCCTCCTTTACATTCAATTCAAGTTCTTACAATCGATGAAGGGAAAAACAAACGAATCACGAGAAAGTGGAAGAGATGGAAAGAACCAGCACATTGTTGAAGGCAGCGGTTGAGGAAGTGTGGTGATCAATAAAGGGTGGTGCTATCCGCACACCTCTATTTACCTCCACACACTGATTTTTATTTTCAATTGCCGGATCAAATAAACAAAAGGAAATTAAAGAACATAAATTAACCGGGAGTAACATCATAAATGAAGCCAATCTTCTTTAAAAAGTAAAAAAGTGTGTGTTGTACCGTATATTGGGCCTCATGACCTAGCCTAAGATGTATGTAGGAGGTGAAGGAAACCCTTATTATTCTATAAAAGGGATCTTTCACCCTCACTTTAAGGGAGAGCAAAGGAGAGCAAAGAGAGCAAACCCTAGCTTTTATAGTCTCCATGTACATTGTAACCTTCAATTTACACAGTGAAACCGAATCGACACCAGTGTGGACGTAACCCTAACTTGGGGTGAACCACGATATATCTTCGTGTTCTTGTGTGTTTGTGTGATTTATGGTTGGATTTACATTGATCCAAGATCAACCCGATTTTGTACATCAACAGCATGTATGGATATATAGCACCACCCTAAAAATGGTAGCTAAACATAAATAAATTCATCTTAATTTGTCATGTGCGTTTTAGTGTTATAGTACTACTCTAGTTAAAGGTTAGAGGAGTGTTACGCAAACATATTTTTTATATAGTTCAATGAAATATATGTTATATATATACTTGAATGTAGTAACTTGAACTAATAACTTTTGTTTTTTTTTTTATAATTCTTGAGATATATATAACTTGATCAACCTCCCAAATAATATTTTTCTTTGGAGACATGATTCGTGTATTTGATGAAATGTTTCAAAGAAAAATTCCTAAATTCCAATAAAATAGTACAATACTTACTATCCATTCATACCATTATTTATTGTTAATATATTATTTTATTTTAATCAAACTATTTAGAGCATCTCATGTGCCTTTGTGATAATCTGTTCTTAATTTTACGAATTTATAAATTCTAAAAGAGTGAATTGACAAAAATGTCTCTAGTGGCGAGATTATTGACTTTTGTTGACCGTCATTACGTGACGCGTATGAGCTATTAATTTATCGTACTCTCGAAGTACTCGACGATACGAATACGAATACGTCGGCACAAATGAAATTGAATTTAGAGCTACGATAGAGATTTTACCAACTTACAAACGCGAATGGCAATTTGGTAATTTTCTGTTTAGAGATATTTTGTGGCTTGTTTTGTGAGCCACGTGGGGCCCACACCCCACTCTTTCCTTCTCTTCCGTGTGTCCCAATCCCAAGAAATCTCATTTTTTTTCTCTCAATTCTCCACTCATTTGCTGCCACTTCATCTCTCATTCCCTCATTTCACTCTCTCTCATCTCTTAGCTCCGTCTCATCTCTCTCTTTCTACAAGTGTAGAAAGCCCACGCCATACCATACCAACCTCGCTAGAACGACAAGCATCGACCCACCACCACCTGCCACTCCGATGGTGGCCACTACATCGGGCGTCAAAAATCCAGATCACCACCTCACCCTGTTCCCTGCACTCTCAAACTCTCTCACACTATGAAAACCAGTGCACCCGTGCACTGCACCACCATCACCCACCGTCTTCTCCGGCGAGCTCCACAAGAGATATGGAACCGCACCAGACCACCAAGTCGTATCCCTCCCTGTCCCTCTCGTCCTCCTATGCTCTTGGTGTTTCGCGCACGCGAACTCTCTCTCTCTACTCTCTGTGCACAGAAGCACTGTGCAACCACAGTAAGTCTCGAAATCCTTTTGATTTTTTCCTTTTAAACATGATATGGTACTGTTTTTAACCTTTGTATGTGATTTGGGGAAAGGTTAGTACGGATTGGGCGAGGGGGAGGATTTTCCAGTTTTCTGGGAAATGAAAACCGTGGCCATCGGACCATTTTCAAACCAAATTTCTGGCCAACACGGACCACAACTGGACTTCCAATAAGTATAAATTGATTCCCTACACTTCTAGCTTCACTTGGGTTTTTGTATCACCGATTTTGGTTAAGATTTGAGTTCGTTTAGAGTTCTGGAAGTCAGCCTTGCAATCTGCAAAAACTGCATATTTCGTGAAAAAAGCGCTTGGGCAGCCACCTTCTGACAGCGCGTGGAGGAACCCGAGGCCCTTCTTTAAGTTTATCGACGTGCCACATCTGAATCCGTCATCCGTTTTTTGAAATTCGACTGTTTTCAAATAGTTCTTTTTTAGCCGTACTTTGTACGAAACGAGGAATTGCGTTAGTACATTATATTTATGTAAATGATTTTATTTCTAGGTGAAACACATCGCAAGGATCTTCGATGCCCGCAAGGTGGGTTCGACTCAATGACATGATTTGTGAGTGGGTCTTTTCTTTGATATATGCATATATTGTTTAGTTTCAACACATACACACACACACACACACATCTAATAATGAATTTTCTATATGACTGCCGTAATTAAATTAACGTTTATAGGAAATGACGTAACAATGAGAATTAGGAAATCACTATAAATCTTACGGGATGCCTTAATTAAAAAAAGGGCTATGAATAATGACTAGAATTATCAAATCACTGTGGCATGACTATATTTATGTTATTTGCTCATCGTTTGCTACACCGGTGTTAGTACTCGCCAAGGCTAGGGCTAGTCTTTCGCATGTATGTTCACATCGCACCATACACTCACTTTGGATCCATTGTAGGTGCTAGTCATGTCCTAGATTGCCATAAACAATTAAGACTCATATGTGATGGACATAGCTCCAGTCTTCACATGATTGTAGTACTAGAACATAAGTCATGATTACACCCAGTCGTGTTCATGTCAAAATATCTCTACTTGAACTCGTGTGTCAACATATGTTGATGAGCACTCAATATGATAGGTTCATTTATGCGAGAATATGTGATTATGGATGTCATATGTTTATTTACGAAAGTTTGTGACGTATTGGTATTGCATTCTTAAGATACTGCTGACTCTTGTAAGTATTTTCATACTATACGTAGTATGTATATTTTGGAAATTATACTTATTTTACGGCCATGGGTTATTATGTTTTCGAAAAGGTTTTTACAAATCTTTATTTTCAGGCCCACTCACCCTTATTTTTCGCTCTTCCAAGTTTTAGCGGCTAAGCTTTCGTGTCGACGAGGATTTCTGGCAAACTGTTGTTGTTGGGATACTACCGACAGTATAATTCATCTTTTGCCTTTACTATGCTCTAACATCACGTGTGAAATGAGTTCATTCCCGCTCACAATTGTACTCTTATATTTAGGCATTTGTAGGTTTAAATTTATTCACATTTTGCCACATCACTATACTTCATGGCTTCGTCACCCTTCAGGTGTTGGCCAGCACAGCTCGATTCAGAGTCTAGGTGAACATTTCGAGTCAGAGTGTGTCAGCCTTGCTAAAATATTTTTATTTTATTATTATACTTTGTTAAAATTATTTAATTTTAATGGTGTTTGTTAGATATTTTTACCACCTGAAAAAGTAGGGATAAAAACACTTAAAAATACTTGCAAGAGTACAAGGTTGTCGTAGTATAGCAGCTCAAGCAATGTTGTTTTCCACAGGGATTGAATGAATAATTTATGTAAATACCAAATCTTAATTAACTATTTGAAAACGAAGTTTAGAAAATGTAGATTTTATGACCTAAAATATTAAAAACGAATTTAACTAAAAAAACAATTAAATAAATTGCGAAAGTAAAGAAAATAGTTTAGAAAATAAATTTGAGCCCTAGGGTTCCGCCGTCACTTTAACATTCCTATGTAGTTTTTTCAATTACTTATGAATTACACATGCATACTTTGAAGGTTAGGTTTTCCTAAAGTATGCTCTACTTGGAACCTCTAACACAGAACGTATATCTAACATGCAACTCGTCCGTGGCGTCTAGATCGAATGTGAACATGCAAGACTCGTTAAGTTTTATGAAAACTTTTTGAAAAACCACATAACTCTTAAGACGTGTTGTCCATCCTAAGAAGTTACACATATTAACCACAAGAAGCCAGCGCCAATTCCAGAGACAGCCCTCCGCCAAAATTGCATCAAATTACTTTTTTAAATACCCTAATGGTGGCCAATCATTAAGACAAATAGATAATTTAAAGCATAATGATTAAATATATGGTACAATATGGACTCATCAATGTTTATACAAGCGTGAATTTTCATGCACATAAAATATACATTGACTTTTCTTGCCAATCCAAACATATGCGTATATTGATTAGAAAGGCTAAAATTGTAGAGTTGATACAAATGAACTTATTAATAAAAATACTTGGAGCATATTTTTTTAATAAAGGATATTATTTATAATAAGAGGGAATTTGATCCAACAATGAACCAGTAATAATGTAGTTCAAATTTACTTTTGACGATAATCGAATTTAAAATAAAAGATGTATTTTTTTTTAATATGAGCAACATTGTAAAAAGAGATTCAAACAAAAAGAACCTTTGGTGCAAAAAAAAAAATAAAATAAAATAAAAAATCTTAACCACCGAATCTCTCCGTGAACATCTTTTTTATTCAAAATTGTGGCAATTCTTTTCCCGTTAATTAAGTTAGGCTTTTTTCAGTCTTGTCATGATTAACCTATGCCAATTGGTTTTTTTTTTTATTGTATTTAATCATGATCTTCATCCTTGTTACTCCAGAGCCCATTAGTAATTTCACAAACAGACGACAGCCAACTAGATCACCGACGGCTGCTAGAGATTTGGAAAACATCCACACCCACCCAACCTTTCCCCCCGGCGATTTATTTGAACTTGTGCATCCACATGTTATAAATCACTAGTTTCATCATAAATATTAAGCTCATTTAAAAGTGTTTTTAAAATGATTGCAGAGAAAAATATTTTTAGGTTTCAAAAGTACTTGAAACGTTTTCTTCATGAAGCATTAGTTCTATGTTTTCTGTATCAGACACTTCAAGTATTTTTTTCAAGATTCACTTACATTTTTACTAATTAAAATACCAAAAACATTTTCACTAAAATTACTTTCAACCATTTTAAAAATATTTCCAAATATTAACCTTCTCCAATCCCAACTCACAAAAGGTCTCCCCCCGTACTATTTCTTGGGTTCTTACTTAGTAAACAAAAAGTACATTTATAAAATGGTAGAGTTGATGATTTATTTTATACGCCCTAAAGTTTTTTATGGTAGGAGGAAAATATTCTCACTATTTATAATGTAATACAAAATAAGTTTTCAAAACTTGTAGTTACATACAATTTATGTGGACATACAATAAACTCGACACTTGGTACGTTAGAAAATTTAAACTTGAAATATCTGAACTAATGACTTATCTTAAGAAAATTGATCATGCTATAATATACCACATGCAATTCCTCTAAATCGTTGAATTATGATTTTTTTTTCCTCATGCACTCTTAATCATTGAATTTGGACTTTTTTTTCCTTGGTATTAGAAAGGGATTCCATATAGAAACACCACCCCCCCCCCCTCTTTTTTTTTTTTTACAATAAGCGATAGAATGGTATTTCGTTGAACTTCACAAACAATTAAAAATGTTATCAATCGGGTACATAAACTCCAGTGACTAAGAAATTGATTTGAATTAAATTTACACAATAAAACAAACTAAAGTAACTCCTATATGGCTACCACAAGCACTGCTCTACTCTATCCTACACTTCTGTAGCCATCTAAGTGTGTGAGACAACGAGAGAAGATCGTTCTAGGGTAGAATGTTGTGGGTTTAAGTGGGTGGGTAAATTGAGATTAATTACTTTGTTCTTTAGCTAAGGTTAATTATGCCCCTTAGGTTTGTTCGTCAACAGAGAAGATTTTTCATTAAAAAAGTTGTGCACAAATAGGTTAGAGTGCAATTATATGTCAATCAACCTTCCAGTTATATATCTCTCTTACCCTTTTCTTCCCTCTGTGCGTCCTATTTTTGCACCACAAGTAGAAGGAAATATGATGTACAATTACAGCCTCTACAAATAAACAACATCATCATGCGTAATACTTATCGTACTTTTACATCACTTAGCTTACTATATGTACGAGTAAGCGAACATTACGTATGAAACCTTCGTAAGTAATATACATAGTACAGAAACTGCATCGACCATTTACACACAGATGGAGCTATAGGTATGTAGTCGATTGCAATACGTGTCAAGTACATACATATACATTGAAAGTTGAACGCAGTTTTGGAGTATTTCTAGTGCATGTAGGTGTCGCTAGTGTGCAGGGAGGTGGCCCTGCGGACAACCTTTACCATCGTAGCAAACACATTTGAAAAGTACGCAGGCTCCAGCAGTCGCACCTTCTTTTGTGCATGCCTTGTTGCAGTTTGGACTCCACAAGCATGCACCCTGCCATGTGCTACTATACGACCACTCACGGCATCCTACAAACCCGCTATCTGCGTTGTGCAAGAAACATATATAGTCATATTTGAAGATCAAAATAAAAGAAAAAGGAAAAAAAAAAGAGAAAAAGGGTCAATGGAGTTTACTAGAGATTTTTCTGTGCACTTGAAACACTATCACATAATATTACCATTTTACTCAAATTATAACACGTGTATTTGTTTTCTTGTTAATGCACTATAGAAGTAAGACATATATATCAACTATGTCTTCCATCTGTATTATAGCACGTGGAATATTACATTACATGACAACTGTTTCCGATACATGTAGAAACTCCTTCTTTCTTACCTGCAACTACAAAGACGATGAACATAACAAAAAGTACAGAAAGACAGATTGACTTTGAAGTCTTAGCCATCTTCTTCCTCAGTTTTTCAGTAATTAATAAGTAAAATTGAAATTGGATGGCACAACTTGTTCGAGTTTTAGGGTGCTGTATATATGCTTTTCTTGCGAGTGGGGAATAAGTTAGGGCTTCTGTTATAAAGTTAGGGTTTCAATTGAGGTCCACTCATTTCTCCGTGTGGCAGGTAAGCAAACCTTTACCCATTTAGGTATAAACAACATGTACAGTTGGATTGGAACAACAACTACAACAGAAACAATGCTAAAATACACATCTTCTCATATAATCATGCCTATGTTAAGTTCTCTTTAGATGGTTCGTTAATTCAGAGTGTTAGGGGTTGGAAACTCTGGACTTTCAAGTAGGTAAGTTCGTTGGGTCGTGTATGTACCTGAGGTATGTATAGCTATATTTCAGTTCTCTTCTTCTTTTTTTTTTTTTTTCTTTTTTTTGAACAAATGATAGTGGCGCTTTGTCTCACAATGGGCTAGCATTAATGTAGTTCGAATTTGCATTGGCGAAAATCAAACTTAATACTTCTCACTTATAAGTGAAAATGAATACCACAAAACCGTAGTACTAAGTGACATTTTAGTTCTCTTCTTAAACTTTGATGCCTAAAAAATTGTCCTCTAAAGAAAATTTCAAAAACGACACCCAAATATGGAAGCATAATATCACAACGTTCATCAGAGTACTAGCCAAATTTCCCAAATATATAATTTATTTTGGCAAAAGCTGGTCCAATCCAACTTTTCTCAAAATGGATGTTGGAGCTATCAGATTTGGACAAAAATCACATATTTTACAAATTAAAAAAAAAAATAAAAAAAAAAAAAAAAAAAGCAGCTTGGGGCCCAAGAACTTTGACAGGATGCCAGAATCTAACCTTACAACTTCTACTGCTACCAAACTGGACTTATCAAGTGACAATTGGACGTGAATGAAGAAAGAAATGATGAAAAAGAAAAAGTAAAAAAAGCTTTATTAGGGTTTCCAAGGGTTTCTGATGCGATTTGACTATATGCCCCTCTTATGCGCCCAAACCTATATTCACTGTCTTCTTTCTCCCATAAACCCTAACTTTTATTCTCTTACAAAATGGCAATCCATTATACTACTTGATTGGTAGGCGTCACTAAAGTTCGTATTCATCTTCTTTTGGCATCGTGACAAGGTTATAAACTGTATTGTTATTACCGGATGGAGATAAATATTTTACTCATTTGGATATTGCTATAAAAATCATTTATTTAAACAATATTTTGTAATACATATGGCAAGATAGTTGATGATTAAATTATTACTTAAATGTTGATTAACGTGTTTATTTTTTAATAGTGACATATCACATAATTTGTAAATTTGGCCTAAAAAATTAGTCTATCTAACGTTACTCTACCTCTTTATATTAATTCTTTCTAGTAGTTAGAAAGCTTGCATGTTGGCTTAATTATGTCCCTTATTTTCAGTCAAGATTTAAACTTTGTAGTTATGTATTGCCTTTCCTATCATCATCCTCTCCCGTTTCCCTCCCCCTTCCTGTACCCTCTAAATTTCAAGAGCTGCATGTGGTCATGTCTTCCATGGCACTTTGCAAACATCGATATTTGGGCTGTGTGGGATTGATGACCCAGATCACCTTCGAACTCTCTTTTGTGAATGGACACAGGTCGAGAATGATTGAGAAGGCAAGATGTGTATGTTGGGGGACCATTGGACCGCACCAGACTCAGACATCAACTGTGCTTTTCGTTCTTTTCGTTCTTTCGTTCGATTTCTCCAAGGTACCACATCTTCTTAATCAAAGTTGTTCATGTTAATTTTCCCTTTAACAAGAAAAATGAGAAATTAGAGTAGTATATTATTCTGTGGGACTAAAACTAACTCTAAAATCACAGTCATAAATTTCCTCAAAGTACTAATATAAATTTGATCCTGTTGAACCCAGGTTGAGTACGCAGGATTCACATTGGTGGAGCCAGAAACATGCTTTGGGGGACACAGCAGTGTGCCATCGACATAACCCATCAGATCCCTACTTTTCAGAATAGGAAGCATTTGAGCCAACCACAGTGGGTAGTTGGTTCTATCAAGTTTGATGTTCACGACAGTGGAGAAGGGCTGGAAGGTGTAGTTTTGGGGGTTGGGGTTAATTGAGGGGACATTATTTTCAGCCATGGAAGCGTTGATGGAAAAGATGACAGGCGAGGATCTTGTCATTAGACAAAAAAAGCTCTAGAAACCATGTAAACTTAAGAACTCAGGTTTTTTCAAGATGATTGCATACCCATTTAACTATGGGATACTTGTATTTATACTTGCTTCATGATTACATCAGAGGGTTTGAAAGCCCTATTTACAAGGAGATTCGAAATTCAAATAATACAAATCAGAAAAGCAACAGTTTACACATGGTTGAAAATTACATCCTATAAACAAGGAAGCCTAATCAGGTAGAACTCCAAACAGATAGAACCCCAAACAGAACTAAACTCCTCAAAGCACGGTGAGTGAAACTGCCTTTTGACTTCGTCTAACAATAAGATCATGTGATATTTTTGTACTATGACATTTTTGTAATAACGAGAATAATAAGATCAAGGAGAATCGAACTAGGATATTGTGCATGATTAATTGCATTTAACCTCTTCAGCTACAAATCTTTTGCGTTGAAATGGGGATGAAGCCGTTTACGCGTAGTTTTCGTTTTATTTGCATGAGATGGGGAGTGCAAGTGCAGTTATTTTATATGGCTATTTCAAATGATCTAGCTTAGCTAGCAAGAAAATTTAGGATCAAACCCCACGTTCATGGCCAACGGTGGGTTTCACGGGATAGAAATGAAGTACGATTACCTCTCACTGACTCGTACGTACTTGTTTTTAACTGCACGACTGAAGCATCCTGCTTTACATTCAATCCAAGTTTTTACAACCGATGAAGGGAAAAGCAAACAAATTACGAGAAACTAGAAGAGACAGAAGAACAAGTATATTGCCATCAAGAGTTGGTTGAGTTGACAAATACTGTTCTCTTCGCTAGACAAAGGCGTAGGTTTGAGTTCTGCTATCTGCAATCTCGCTTGATGGGTGATCTAGAAAAACACAAAAAAAAAAACCTAAAACCCTCTTTGTAAGTAGACTTGTGGTTTGTCCTGACCCTTCTATAGGGTAGCCTCCGGATGAGGAATTGTGGTGATAAAGAAACGGTAGCTATGGGAATATGTTTCTTGTTAATGATATTATTTTTATATCCCATGTGCCTTGCTAGAATATTTTTATTTTTATTATTTTCTAATATGCCTTTGTTAAAATTATTTATTAAAATGAATATATTAATAAAAATACTTGGAGCATACTTAAAGATCAAAGTTTTAT